TTAGCAGCGCCTTCTCTTAACGGATAAAACATTTAACCCGCTTCAACAAGTCTTAGTGCACCCGAATCGAATAAAATTGGCTCAAACTCAATTTGCGGCAATTTGGTTTTTTGGCTGTCCGTTGCTATTTTTATAACTTGGGCGTCGCAGCTGGCCAATAATTTTTGTTTTAAGTTGCCAGCTTTTTTGGCGGCTGCCACGCACAGCAGGAGCAGGAGCAGCACCAGCAGCAGGAGCCGTAAAACTCCTTTGCGTGGAAGCTGGCCCCCACTCTAGGGCTTTCGACGACTTGAGCTCTGTGTGTGCTTTGGGGTCGCCGTCTGTGCGGAAAATTACACTAAAATAGACACAAAACGCTATTTGTGTTGCGTTGCCATTGAATAATAGGCAAATGCCACAGCCAGGCAGCGTCAGTCGCTGGAAATTTTGTGACGTCACATGCCGAAAGCAAACAGAGACTCAACAGTGATTGTCGCTGCTCCAAAGGGCTCTATTGACCTGCTCTGATTCTATGGAGCTTAGATAGCATGTTTTGCTCTGACTTCTAAAGCCTTAAAATCTTAATAAAATTGTCTCTGATAAATTGATTCTTGGAGTGAAATGTTGCAGAGCATCAATGACTTGACTAATAATTTACGCAAATAAAATAGACTTTTTAGAGAATTAATTCATTCTCGCACAGAGAATAACATGAATTCAGGCTCAGATGTTTTTAGTTTAATTGTTGATGCAGCTTTGCAGTTCTTTAGTCCGTTTTTCAATATTTCTATGCCAAAACGGGAAATTGAGTTACATTGAAGAAGTACAACAGAGTTAGTTATTTTCCATAATATTTTTAGGGTTTACCTTACAGCTCATCTTATTGTATGGCTAAAAACATGAGTTCATATAATAATAGCTGGAAAAACCCAACAGCTGCATAAAAATAATCAAATAATATTCTTTGTATACTCTTTAAATATTTTATTTTTCCTAAACCTGATGAATATTGATCACTTTATTTTATACATACTTGATGCTTTCTTTTACTGTCATATAACAAATCATAGCACTGATTCCACTGCTTCAATATTCTCAGCATTCCATATTCATCATTATCTATTAATAAAATCCCAATCACTACTACTACGTTGTCTCTCCCTCTCTCTCTCTCTATTTGCCTCTCTTTTGCCATCTCCCTCGCACAGCTTGTCCATTTTAAAGACTCACACTGGGCATATTGAAGGCCCATTTAAGCATCGTTCAGACAGTGACAGACTTATTCGCTGCCATTGTGTAAAGCTTTTCGATGTGACAGTTAATTTTACAGTGACTGATGTCAGGAAACGCACACACGCACACATGAAAATTGTATTAAAAATTGCCAAAAAAAAGACGAAGAGAGGAAAGCAAAAATAAATTAAAGGCCAAGCACATTTGCCATACAAAAATAAACAAAAAAGCAAAAAAAAAGCAGC